TCCCATCCAACATACCGCACCCACGATTGTCACCTGCACACGAAACTCTATGCCCATGGGAAACCCGTCGCGAGGTCTGAATACCCCGTGGTTTTAGGAGAATATAAAATCGAGTATTACGGCCGTATCGAAGGCTTATCGCACCGGTTGTCATTAAGACCGAAGACTGCGCCTCTTTACTCCCCGCCTTACAGCATACTATAAGACAAGGGGGAAGTATGTATCTTTCGACTAGCCCCCATAATGGAACCAGGACCTCCAGGCAAAAAATTCACCGCGGGTATTCTTCCTCGGTCCATGGGTAGGCGTTGTTGCCTATTATCGCTCCACTCGATGCTCAGGATTGCAGCTTGTCGGCCTTTGCGCTGACCTATACCTCCAGGGGATCTTGTCTGTTCAGGTTCGAATGGTCGTTGTTTTCGTAACGCTAGGATTAATCCCCACTGCAGATGTTGAATTACTTTTCGTTGTACGGAAAGAACGATAGGGTGACAGTTCGAGCTTCCGTTGGGTTCCTTGCTTTGATCACGACGCTCAAGTCAATTCAGGTCCGCCGCCGCCTCTTTTTGAGAGCTCTTCCTTTTGCCTGACTCGTTGATATCCAGAGCTTGTATGTGCCATCGTCAAGGTTTACAAGAGAGACTAACACAGACTACGATTTGTAGCGCCATCGTTTGGGTCGGGCTAATCGAAAACTTTGCAGATATTCAAAGCGCTGATCGACATTTGTACGTTCCATCTCCTACGATACTCACTCCCCATGCCTGATATTCTACTACTTCAGATCTGGGGCATGGTATGAAGCCGGTCCGTCACGCACCGCTGTCATTGCCTCTCGTAATAATAATCCGCCGAGCAGGAAACCCGCTGATGGTCGCTCTCATCAGTTTTTACGTTCAATGCTATTTTTGCTATAGGTTATGGGTCGTGTCTGAGAGGTGGTGGGTAGTTCTGCCCATTGTCCTAGTGTGCATATTTGCTATCATCGCTGCCATATTGACCGTAAGTATACGGGCATGCTAGGGGGAGTCGATTCTCACTGTTTTAGGTCCAAAGAATTGTTCATTTCGAGGCCAGTTTACCGTACTGGAGTAAGCGCTTCTTCACATTATCTCTGTGCCAGCTAAACTCCCATTCTGTTAGTGTCTGCTCATTTCGCAACTGTTTTCGGTAGGCATGATCCTTTTCAGTGTGTGAGCCTTGACTCACTCTGCTGTAGTCGCAGATGTGCTGCTGGCAGCGACAACAGGCTTTTTTCTCCTGAAAACCCGGAGAAACGTTATGCCACAGTCAGTCTCCTCGTCCAAGTCACCTCTGATGCATCTGACACACGCATTAGAACTGTAGGCATGATCAACGCACTGCTACGGCTCACATTCCAAACGGCAATGCCCGCCGTCGTATGGTGAGCAAGCTTTGAGGAGTGCCTTGCCTGGAATCACTCACACGGTGCAGTGCCCTTCTCACTCTGATCTGCGTCTACCTCCCGCCGGACAAACCTAGAGTCGCCAACACATTCAATCAGGCTCTACCCAAGCTGTACGCCATCAGTATGATGTGGACCCTCAACGCACGGAAAGACATTCGTGACTTTTACTACGGCGACTCAATGTCCAGGACGGAATCGCGGCCCCAAAGGCCTACTATCACGGGTAGTTATTCAATTCAGGCTGCCACTCGTACGGAGGTCATCCAGGTGAGTTGTTCCTGCCGGTTCCTGAGGAATGTTTGTTGACGTTAATCAGATATCGGACGCGGATACGGGTACAGAGGTAACAACGAGAAAAACCGAGATTGACGACGGAGATTCGTACGTTCGAAAGGAGCAAATTAGATAAATTTGCAGTTTCTGAAGTAAATTATGGACATTAGAACGTGGAAGTCGCCGTGAAACACAAAATGTTGTGATGTATAGATGGCTACAGATTTGAGGACACATCAACATTGGCGTCTGTGTCAAGCTCATCGATTGATGGCTTTCTGGTTTGACGTCTGAGATATTATCAGAGCGCGTTGTTCCGCAGTGTGAAGAAGAGTCAGACTCACCGCCACCACATATCCTTCTCAGATCGGTCATCTCTCTCCCATTCCCTTCGTGTTTCAAACATCTCAACTGCTCTCTCAACCGGAAACAGAGGCTTCCCGGCATCATGGCATACCTTTGAAGGCCACATGAAATGGACATTCGGATGAAGGCGCGTGATCCTCTCCATTAACGGGTAAATACTATCGTACTCGACACTCGATGTGGCACAGAAACCGCTACTTCTCACTGGATAGGACGGTTGGAGGATGATTGTAAGGTTCGAGGGTATAGGCATCCTATCAAAGCATCAGCTAATGAAACCTGCACATAAAAACAGATTGACCGAATGATTGCACGCTCCGGTTCATAGCCTAACACCCACTCTCTAAGAGTTTCCGCGACACCTTGAGGGACATAGCCAGGTTGAAGCTCCTTGGGGAGCTGGTACGTGCTACTAAATCCTGTGAGCCGGATATGCATGAGATTGGGAAAGAGTCGTGAAAAATCGTCGAGCGATGGTAGCGATGATAGTATATGAAGATGCAGATGAGTGACCGACGGGAACTTGGATGAATCAAAAGGTAACGATGGAGGAAACGTCTCTGCCATCCCACGACGAGTGAATATGGTGAGCTCTTTCAGTTTGGGGAAGGCTTGTTGTAGGACGATGTCGAGGCGCACACTGTCGCTGCGCACGGGCCAGCCGTCCCATGGCGGCTCCTTGTATTCCAAGTACGAAAGAGCCTCTAATCCAGGCGCCACTCTCTTCAGAATCTGGCCTAGCAACGCCTGCTGGCGGAGAATCGCGTACTTCAGTTTGATGTCCTTCTTCGCCCTTTCGTGTCTCTGTTCCTCGCCGACTACCCTTGACAAATGCTCCTCATCTTCTTTCGCTATTTCCTCTTGTTCTCCTAGTTGTACTTCGTTCTCTCGACGACGACCCCGGCCGTACATCATCTCGTCATCACATACTTCCACGTTGTGCTCTGTTTCTACTTCGTGTGCGGAGGAATCTGAAATCAAAAGCCGCGAGACGTGAATTGCCGAATTAGATTCGAGATGGTCGACCAGTTGCGCAAGGCCGTTGTTGAGGCCCGTGACGATGTAAACGCCCTCAGAAGAGCTGGCAAAATCCAGATTCTGGCTCGCGCTAGCCATGGCGACGATTGTAAAGATAAAACGGGCGGATTTCATTACTCTCTAGAGTAAGATAGAGAGTTTGGTCGTCAAGCATAGCCTCCGGATGTGGCTTGATGGTGGGAAGAGAGTAAGTTGCGCGGCTGAGTCCTGATTAGGCAATGAACGCCGTAGAAAATAGCGCTACGTCCCAAACATTGTTGTCGAAGTACTCTAAAGTATCACAAACAAGCACTTTGAATTACCCCCAATGAATACCGAAGGACAACCACCTTGAACCAAACGATGGCCCAGTCCGTCTAACCGACCGTCTGATTCTCCATGGAAACTCCCATCAGCCTGCAAGAAAATATATACACTGGATATTTCCCTTCATCAGACGAAAGCGTAGTAGATAGAGGGGCCAAATACTCACGATCTGTTGCGCTCTGTGCCCCCTCCTTTATATCCTCTTTGGATGCACCAACGAGACAGGTCATGCACCCAGCGTATGCCTTTCCGTTATCGTTGGAACACATGCACCCCACATCCGACAGAGTGCAGGCCTAACAGCTAAATTCAAAGAGAGGATTGGGAAATGGGAAATAGTAGTACGCACACCAAGTTTATCGATTACCGTGCACTGATTTTGGCATATTGCCAATTCTGATGAGTCTGAGCCGTCAAGTGGGAGCTCAAAGGCGCGCCGCATCGGAGGCACGACAGAGGAGAGCGCTAAACATCATACGAGTCGGCCTGAGGTAGCATTTGTGACCTCGGAAGAGACTCACCTCCGTGAACGATCAAGAGAACCGAGAACGCTTTAACAAGGGAACGGCTGACGAGCATTGCGGGTGGGTGATGCAGAATAACGGCACAATTGACACGACAATATGTATATTCTGGATGTACCAAGGCTGTGTACTTATAACGAAAGGCATACCGTGGTACCACGCTGGCACATCATGGGAAATAGCCTCAGTAACCAGGTTGCGACGATTGAATTCCACAGATCATCAAGACCAATACATTTGGGAAGAGATTTGTTACCTTGGAACAAAACAGCTGGCGAGATTGACGCTCACATCTGTACTGCTTTCATGGAATCAAGGAATCTGCTTTTGGAGCACTGGACTAGTGCTGTTCTACGATCTCGTGTCTTGCCATTACGTGAGTCCTTACTCTAAGTATTCTTCGGGGGTTCTTTTCTTGGTGCATACGGTTTATCGCACTCCTCGGTAAGATAGATTCATATCATATATATACTGAGTACGGGGTTTGACAGTTGACTTCCGAGCCATGTTGAGAGCCTCCCCCTAGGGTTGCGCACGAAACCTTAGGTTTTGATACACTAGGGTTTCGGACCGGTAAGTTACCGGTTAGTTACTGGTAACTTACCTCCCCTCGCTGGAGGGGTTTTCAGCGAGGTAACTTACTTGTCATGTGATGACATATGAGCAGCAATATCACCACCACTCAATCCTATTGAATTGATATTTTATTTACAACCTCAAACAAAGCACCGTAGTGATTTTCAATGAATTATACTTCAGGAGAAAGAAAAATGTGTAGAATAACACGAAGGTGAAGATGTTCGAAAAAAATTGCAAATGCCGCGCGTCAGTCATGTGAAGCTACACGTGATAGGGTAAGTAACGGTAAGTTACCACCCCCTTGGGGAGGGGTCGGTAAAAAACGGTATGTTACCCCCCCTGGAGGTTTCGTGCGCGACCCTACCTCCCCACTAAAAAGCAATACATTGAAATCTGCACGTTGCACATATAAAGGCGTACTGTCGCTTGCGAACCGCGATTCTTAGATCTTGAAAGAAAAGATGTGATGTGAAAGATTGTGTGAGCTGCCCCAGAGAGGCTCGAACTCTCGACCTTCCGATATTAGCACATAACAGTCGGACGCTGTAACCAACTCAGCCATGGGGCAGACATCATTCTGCGTTGGCTAGCACACCATGATACGCCTAAAGAACGATCCTCTGAGAAAGCTCTACCCACATCTTTGAATAACGTATCTTCATACGCATCGCTGAGTCTATGGGTAAGGTGGGTAAGACAATGAGATAGATGCGGTATAATAATCTGGCGCCAAGCGTCTCGCATATGGCTTCGATTATTGATGTGGCATACCCATTTGGTTTCGTAGGGAAACCTATTATTGTTCAACGCCAAGATAGTCGGGACTCGGCCAACTGACGGTACATGGGAATGTCGACGGATCCCGCTTTGCAGCGACCAAGCTGCGTGTCATCCAATTGCAGTCTAGATGGATTATACTGCGCTGGTCGCTCGACGATCCTGATCGCTGATCCACTCTGCTCGTACCTGGGACCGCTGACAAAACGTCAATGAATTCCAAAGCGCGACACCGTGCCATTTCGCATTGCCGAAAGGAAGTATCCTTGTAAAACATATCTTCATCCGCACGGCGTGAGCAGTTCTTCTCTTGGTCCGATTATACAACAGTTTCGTACTTCTCAAAATCCTTCACCAACATGCCCCACCTGCCTCCATGCCACGTCGACATATCCTTCCACTCCTCGCTATCGGCGCCATATATGAGGCGAACCCACAAGACCCACGCAGCAATCGTGAAATCTGCATATGAAAGCACATCTCCCATCACATACTTGTCACCCTTCTCATACCACGCATCGATCTTTCCAAAATCCGCCTTCAACCTCGCCCACTCCCGCACCTTATCCTCCCCCTTTGGGAGAGCTTCCTCCAATTTCTTCCCCCCAAATGCGTTGGCCTCCCTAGTCCTCCTGAAATACTCCTCGCTGTAGGGATTCAAAACGAAATTGGACTGAATAAGCGCGAATTGCCAAAGAGCATCAAAGCGGGACTCTAACGCCTCGTTAAAGGCGTAGTGGAGCGCATCGGTACCCACGGGGATGACCGTGGGTGTCTCGGGGTAGGTTTTGTCGAGGTACCGGGCGATGGCTGCTGAGTCGGAGACAAGGGCGCCGGTGGAGGCATCGTGGAGAAGAGGGCACGTGTAGTGGGGTGTTACGCCGTCAGGCTTGGTGGCACTAGCTTTGGCGCCGAGCTTCTTGTACAGGCCTTCGATGTCGGGGTACTCAACCCATTCAGTGTGGTATGGAAGGCCTTTATAGTTGAGCACGTATCTAGATGAAGTAATGAGCGATAGGTACTATATGCGGGGGAGAAAACGGGCCTGGCTTTCCACATGTTAGGCGACCAAGCTTTGGTGGGGAGAGTCGATGGGATGTCGTATAGGGTAAAAGAGGTGGACATTTCGGATGGTTGGCCTAATCTGAAGGATTGGTAGATATACTCAAAGGCACTCGAAGGCTGTGAGATTGATTATTGAGCATGAGTTCATTGTTTCTCGCCACTCGGCATTTTGGTACTGTCATGTGGGAAAGCTGACTGATGAATGGAAGTTATAAGTAACTCATGAGGAGTTCTCTCGGGTCCCCGTTAACGAAAGATTTGAAAGCAAAACGTGCCTAGACTGGTGACCGTCTCTCTCATCACTTGTCCCGGTCCGAGTCGTCGCAAGTAAGAAATCTCATCCGTGTAAAGTGGTGAGAGACGATTCTACGACTGTCGATTTCCTTCCCCTTCAAGGACCAAGGGAGGGGACTGGGGAGAATGACTGTTTCGAAAGTGAATATGACCATCACTGCTTACAAAAACAGCCATGAAAATTGAAATCACAAACGGAGTTCTGCCGCCATTTGCCTTGGAACCCACATAAGTAGATCTACATCTAATTTCAGTGACAAGACTCCGAGAGTGTGTGAACCGAAGGAAGCGTACATCACGATTTTTGATCATTCCCTCTAAATCTGATTATCAGTTCAGAGAACTGTTGGAAAATATCATCAACGATCTTCGTAAACCCACAAGCAAAAAGTTTACCCAGAGCAGGCTGCGCATTCAACAGTTAGTCGTTTGGGGACATTATCAAGGTAGGACTGGACGCTGTCTTTACCGACAGCGCTGACAGAGATACCCGGGAGATACCCACTGACGCGTCCGTGGCAGCCCGTGAGTTTGTCGCAGGTTATTCAGGAGACATGATGGCAATGATGAAGCCACACCTAAGTCTATACATCAGGTGACGGTGTTCCCAGATTGCAGCCACGTCGGACAATCTCTTGTCGCTGGATATGGAAATGCCATGGGTGTCGGAGCGCTCGTTGGTCTGGAAGCTGAGTACGATGGGGGTAGATCTCCGCTGGAAAATAATAAGCGGGAGGAGCAGAAGACACAATATTCGAGCCATGTTGGCTCTGAGGTCATAGCCGTCACCATCGCTGTTGGCGACCTGAGAAAAGGGGAGCCAGTTGACTAATGGCAACGCGCGGGTTAGGAAGTTCAACGTACGGCATAGTGTTTGTAATGAGACTGCGCTGCGATACGACTCGGGAAGCAAAACCCATTCCAGTGACACCATAGCGGCGCGACGCGCTTGGTACCTTTACCATTCTCAACTGGATCCTCTTCGCTACTTGTACAAAATCAGGATAACCAAAGTGTTCTAAAGAGTACCCGCGTCTTAGTAGCATCCGTGTTGATAAATCGTGTTGATGTGTATTCCGTACAAATGTTCGTCGATTCAGGATGATAAGGAAACTTTAGGTGGGAAGTACAATGGTATCCTCCTGATCTAGGTCATCAAAAGACCTTCAAACAAAGTATACACAGCATAGGACTCACCTTAGTGCACCGCCATCATATCAAACTTCGCGAATCCGCATCGTCGTATGGCACCGGACGACGAGTCATGGCATAATCCTTCCAAACAGTCCCAAGGGCAGGCAGCGATGTGAAGTGTGCTGTGTGCTTGTCACGAAATGACACGCCAACTGGCCTGTGCTTGCCAAATAATGAATCGACTGTTGGTAAACCAAGATTACGGGTCGTTGATTTGTCGCGGCATTCGCTCGGAGAAGAAGGCTGTAGAGATAATGGAGGTTTAAGCGTTTGTCGATCTCTGTCACTCGGCGATACTGTTGCATACGCCTAGCATATAGCAATCGCAAGTCATGGACTGCATTAGTTGAAATCGAATTCATGAGCCTTGAGATGCCATTTTCGATGACTACGACTCACCGCACATATGGACAAGCAGCTACCTCACTTGACCACTCCTCTGAGAGCGATATGGTATATTTGCAAGGATCGATTGAGCAGGCCGATTTTAGCACGAAATAATTCGTATACAAGACGGCCCGAGTTTGGGGGTGGTTGTAGTGTCAAAAGCGGAGTAGTATGACCAGAAGGACTATGCCAGCATTCAGCCGGAAATGACTGTGGAGGTTTGAACGACTCACCTAGGACTTCCAATGTTTCAGAAGGTTTTATCTTCCCAACAACCAGGCGCCCGCTAACGAATATTGACCCGTTCAGAGTTGCAAAGCTATTTCCCGTATTATTTGCTGCCGCCCAACACCATCAAGTGCAACGATAGCACAGGTTTGCAAGGCAGTAAAATGCGATGTGTGACGCGACAAGCCAAAGAGCCATTGCGGAGATCATGGTGGTAAGAGATCAAATTTCAAAAGGTACTCCTTCTGCTCCCACCACCATCGGTCTTTCACAACCATGGCCTCTCTCCTGCTCACCACGTTGACGGAACAATGATGGATTATTTTTATGATTGCTTTCTTCGACGTCGTTCGACAATCTTCCAGCAACCCGGACGAGGAAATTCGAGGAAGAGATGGTCGAGTCCGGCTTGGTACCACCGCACACACTTCCTTTATCAACGGTTCTTATCGAAGATAGCCTAGAGACTCGTTAACCAGAATTGCTTTCCGGGACGGATGGCACATATCGACGTAGAGAAGGAGGTACGGACGCGCTTAGGGGACATTGGAAAATGCATGCTGGTGCGAATTCCGCGAATGGTTCACGTTCGTGTTGCATTACTCTAGGACGAATATCTGTACTTAATTCCCCCTCAGAATGGCACGTTTCTCCGAAACGCACGTTCATCCGGATCGCCAGCTGGGACAATAATGTCTTGACGTTCCCTTCGCTGTCATTCTGCTGCCTTCGGGTATCTGCGACCTGTTGCAGATAGTTCGTTCAAATCAATTTTTTGCCTTTCGTCTTCTGTAGATGCACGTAAAACAGGGTCGTTTCGTTCAAACCGTCACACTTTTCTGACACCTGCAATTGCTCGTTCTTCTGCCAATTGGCTCGGAGCCATACGTGGACACTGCATACCAAGTCTTGCTACCAGCAAACTAAACAGTCCAATGTTTATACGGTATCTTTACTAGTTTCTTCCTGCCGATTATCGTTTACTGACTGTTGCTTTGTAGAGTATCCATCATGACGTCAACGGCGTACCAGCGATGAAAACCCGATTCGCAGAAAGCTCTCCTCCGAAGCGCCGCCGCTAGAGCGTCTAAACAAGCATACGATGGTCCAGAGAAACCAATACCGTTCCGTCACGAAGAAGCAAACGGTGATTGGACAGGAAAACGGTTCTCAGAGCCAAACCCGGGATGGTCCGTGAACTCGTAGAACACGTTCGTTTACTCTTTGGATGTCTCGACAGCTTCTCCGGCTCATGCATACAGGCTACTGATCGCGCTCGAATTCTTTCTGGGGTGGCTTTGTCTTGGTATATGTCAGAGGTGGTGCCAGCTAGTCTCCACACCTCGTGCTTGGCACGAAGAACGGGCTTTTTTGCAAGTTAGTTTTTTCCTAGACCACTCCGTCGTAGGTGGTTGTACTAATATCTTTATAGGCTTTTCATCCCACTAAGACCTCAATGCTATTAAGTAAGAACACTCCGGTCTCTGTGTAATGTCGACAGAGTCCTTTTGCGAAAGCGACTCTTCACGGATTACGTGTGAATCGAATGGGGGAATGTACATTTGAATGACATCCGAATCCCGAACACGAGGGTGGTAACCTTGAAGACAGGATCCGCAAACG